CAAATAAAAAAGTAATAACTGAAAGTGGCTGAAGATTAATTTAATAATTTTGCTTGATTTCGTTTGATTTTAAGTATGTTGAGATATTGAACAGATTGAAACACATGTTTTACAAAAGCAGGGCAAGTCGTAAAATCTTTCTCGGAAAAACTAAGCCTTAAAGCCATTGTCTTACCTACGATTCTTTTCCCATTACTCTCATAGTACGATATATTGGTGAAATCCTAATCTTGAACTTCCAACGTCTCCATATACCATTCTAGATCCAGCTGTCTCTTCGTAGAATCTATCTCCTTATCTTCAACACTACTAATATTTCACAATATTTTAAGAGTATATTTCAAAAATAAAATACGTATTTTAGAGGCCAAGATAAAGTACACGAATTGGCATTATTCGAGTATGTACTTTTAATCTCTTAAGGGCTCACTGAATCTTAAAAAAATTATATTGAAAGACAACTTTCTCTGCTTTACTCTGTTCTTTTCGTTATATTATAGCCTTTTTTTATTTTATTATATTATTGAAATTTTATTGTTTTACTTTTTTATTGTTTTATTTTGTTACTTTTATTTTTCTTTGTTTATGTATATGAGAAATTTATATATTAAAATTTACTACATTGGCAGACATAATATTGGAGATTTAATATTTAAAATCTACTATCCGAACAAAACATAGTAATTTTTATCATGAGAAGCAAGTATGTTCGACTGATTATTTGTCTCTAGTTCTCTACATTTGTTTACATATAATGTTATTGAATTTTTAATATATTGAAACAATTATATCATATATCTACAATATAATTATATATCTAATATTCGATATTTTAGAAATTGTCTAATTTTTAACCAAAAAATTAATTCAATTTCTTTAAAATATCTCTAAAATTCTTTTCTATTTGAAATATTTAAAATTCAATAGATATATTGTATGTTGCCTTCTATGACTGATTGTGAGTGTACTTTATAAATTATTCAAAATATCACTTAACTCATCCTTCTATATAAATATAGATTTTATCTGAAATAACATTACTAGATTATGGATTTTTATGCAAATTCGTAATTTTGAAAATATAATAGAAAATATTATGAAAAGCATTGTACCTTAAATGTTTCATATATTATGCAATTTCATATGCAATTTTGTATTTTAGAATTTTCTACAGATATGAAAATAAAAATCCGCAGTCTAGTGATCAAATGTTTTCACCAGGAAATTTTTGCAAATTTTCCCTTTTCCAAATCATTCAAGCAATATATAAGATATCTCTCACGTTAGGCAGCGTTACATCTTTCAGAGAGTTAACACTAGAACAACCAACGATTAAAGACACAAAATTTTCGTCAAAGTAAATTTAATACAACAGAGTACACAAGCCTTTATTTATATATTTTACGAAAACCATTAAAAATTTTAAATTTCTTACATTTATTAAATTTCTAACAAAAATTATAAATTGGTGACGTTTGATCACTTCGGTAGTTCTAGCGTTAAAGAGACCCAAGAGTCCAGGAGCTTCAGGAACTCATCAAAACAATAATAGATAAATAAAAAATGCAACCATCACGTACGTTTGAACTTCGAATTCCATGCTATATTATACTAACCCGTAAGTATCTCCAAGCTGACGTCGGTGCTCCTCGCGTGAAGCCTTTTTCTCCCAGCGGCGGTCTCGTCGATGGATCCTCTGCTTCCTCGTCTCGAGGCCACCCTTTCCTCCGATTTCGCCCGGACGTCCGATCTACCAGCGCTGCTGCGTCGATGCCTCCTGTCTCCTCGATCCTCCGATCGGTACCTCTTGTCGAACTTTTTGTACAGCCGATGACCAGACACGTGCTTCGTCGCGGAGGACCTGTGTCCTTCCGGGGAGTCCGCGAAACCTGCCGGCGGTCGAACGATCTCTTCCGAGACCTCGGGGTGGAGCAACACGATGGCACGCACGATAGAGAAAAGAGGTAGATAGACCGACAG